AACTAGGATCAGAAACACCACAGACTACAAACTAGAAATCCAAACACCACAGACTACAAACTAGAGATCCAGAAACACCACAGACTACAAACTAGAGATCCAGAAACACCACATACTACAAACTAGAGATCCAGAAACACCACAGACTAAAACTAGAGATCCAGAAACACCACAGACTACAAACTAGAGATCCAGAAACACCACAGACTACAAACTAGAGATCCAGAAACACCACAGACTACAAACTAGAGATCCAGAAACACCACAGACTACAAACTAGAGATCCAGAAACACACAGACACCCCAGACTACAAACTAGAGATCCAGAAACACCAGAGACACCACTACAAACTAGAGATCCAGAAACACCACAGACTACAAACTAGAGATCCAGAAACACCACAGACTACCAACTAGAGATCCAGAAACACCACAGACTACAAACTAGAGATCCAGAAACACCACAGACTACAAACTAGAGATCCAGAAAAACACCATAGACTGCAACCTAGAGATCAGAAAACACCACAGCTACAAAAATAGAGATCCAGAAAACACCACAGACTAACAAACTAGGAGATCCAGAGGACCACCACATACTACAACTAGAGGATCCAGGAAACCACCACAGACTAACAACCTAGAATCCAGAAACACCACAGGATACAAACTAGAGATCCAGAAACAGCAGAGACTACAGACTAGAGATCCAGAAACAGCACAGACTACAGACTAGAGATCCAGAGACTAAAGCAACAACACACCCTATTCCCTACTTGGTCAAAACCCAAAGGATCCTGTCCACCCTCTTTGCTAGAGGGTTAATTTCAGGATTAACTGTAGACAGTAATATTTCATACCTTGGTATCCCAGTCTCTGTGCTACATGGTTCAGTAATAGTAGATAACTGTAGACAGTAATATTAGTAATATACCTTGGCGTCCCAGTCTTTATTTAGGTAGTATATACAGGTGACACATCGCCCGTCTCCGTTCGGGTTGTCCACGTGGCGTACGTATCCGGTCCCGTTGCCTGGGTAACATGCCACCATCGCCTAGACAACAGAACAGAAACAGAGGAAAAGATTAGTCCTGACTCTCCTAAGTATACGTGATAACAGAATTACTCATAACAACATTAAATAGACTAACTCTCATGATTAGCCTAGGAGGAGAAGATTAGTCCTGACTCTCCTAAGAATGTGATCAATTAACTAAATCTCATGATTAGACCTAGGAAGGAGACCCCCACAAACAACCGCTATGGATGTTACACCCTCCGTTATTGATGTTACAGTCTAAAATAGACATTCAAATCTGAAAGATTTCTTGATCAAACTCTATCATAACACATTTGTTGTAATTTGGAATGTTTTAAAAATGTCAGCAGAAGTCATAGTACTTTAGGATTGCATAATTACAGGTAGCCTGAATAGTATACAAGGCCAGTCACCGTGTTAAATACTGTTGAAGTAATACGGCTACAGGTTCACCTGCCTCACCTACAGTGGCTTGCGAAAGTATTCACCCCCCTTGGCATTTTTCCTATTTTGTTGCCTTACAACCTGGAATTAAATTGATTTTGGGGGGTTTGTATCATTTGATTTACACAACATGCCTACCACTTTGAAGATGCAAAATATTTTTTGGTGTGAAACAAACAAGAAATAACACAAAAAAACAGAAAACTTGAGTGTGCATAACTATTCACCCCCCCCCCCCCCCCCCCAAAGTCAATACTTTGTAGAGCCACATTTTGCAGCAATTACAGCTGCAAGTCTCTTGGGGTATGTCTCTATAAGCTTGGCACATCTAGCCACTGGGATATTTGCCCATTCTTCATGGCAAAACTGCTCCAGCTCCTTCAACTTGGATGGGTTCCGCTGGTGTACAGCAATCTTTAAGTCATACCACAGATTCTCAATTGGATTGAGGTCTGGGCTTTGACTAAGCCATTCCAAGACATTTAAATGTTTCCCCTTAAA